CACACATCGAGTGCCGAAGCTATTCGCTGCAATTGCAAAAAGCTGGGTCTCCCCAAATGAAAAATTCACCTCATCAAAACACCTGAGGCGCTGGCATTCACCTCAGAGCAAAAGACCCTGATGTTAGCACATATGGGAAAAAGAGATTCAAGACCACAATTTCGGCATTGAGCCAGCCCTGTGCGGGAGTTGTGGTCAAGTTGAGAATAACAAACCAATCAAACGAACGCGGAAACCCGATAGGTCTTCGCGCTCACAATGCCATTCAGCCCACCACGACCCTCCTGATGACGCGGCTGCCCCGCAGCGCCAAGAGAATCAGTGGCACAGCCACTGTGGCGCCGGCGACGGCAACCCAAGAGACGTTCATGGCGTTCCAGTGGTTCCCCCGGTTCTTCTTGTCTGTTCAAACTAGGTATTTTGCGATGATCCGCAGCCATGGCCCCTTCTCCCCCGGTGCGCCTTCTTTGCTGTCAGAGTTTGAGGAACTTGAAGCAGCAAATCTCTGTTCGATGCTGGTTCGACAACCATTCGCTGTGATTTGAGGCAAACTAAATTCCAAGGATGCCGGGAAACACTGATCTCAGCATGATTGTTAAGAATTTTTGAAGTTTCAAAATGAGATTTGTTTCTTAGAATTTCAGGAATTGTGGTTTGCGCTGGCCAGGTTGCGTTGTTCATCACGCTCACACTTGGTTTTTCGTGTTGGTGCATTCAGTTGTGGCGGCACCAAAAACACTCGGCTGGCGGCAGAGAATTATCACCACCACCACCACCGCACTTTGTTGGGTTTTCAATTGCCAGCTACAGCATCACCATTCCTGCTATCCAGCCTTCAGCTGTTTGACGCAGGATAGCAGGTAGTGCTCAATGAAGTAAAGGTAGCGTGTGCTACCAGCCCGTAAGCAGGAATTGCCTATTCACTCCCCGCAGCCACCCCCGATTCTCTGGGTAGGAAGCATATGATAAGGCGGACTATGGATGTCTACGTTTAAACACATTCCACGGTGAGGTGATGTCCAAGTCAGGCATTTATTGCCTGAAAATGGAAGATAGCGCACAGCGGCATTTGCTCCTATAAAGACATAAGAGCGTCACAATTTTATGGCTCCTTAAGAGCAAGCTGCAGATTGCGACGTGTTGAGCGCGGAGGGACAAGGGTTGTTTGGAAGCGAATCTCCGTGCGCAGCGAAATTCCCCGCAACTGGTCATTTCCCGAGGATGGTCAATGCCTAAGGTGTTCTGAGGAATCGCTGATCAAGAATTCTCCTCACGAACGAAAGGGACCAGGGTGTGGGAAACATTGGGGCTGGCAAGCGCCTGTCATGCCGTTACCCATAAGGGCCCTCCGGTCTGCCTGTTCCTAACGAGTAGAGGCATCCGAGCTAGGGGCTTCCATCACCCAGCTGGATTCATATGAGTCACGCGTAACGCGGGCTTGCGCGAGAAGTGACATGCGCCATGTAACATGTGTCATGTGCTGTGTGCCGTGCGTCATGCGATATGTGTTCATGTGTCCACGTGGACGCATACACGCGGAATGCCACCAAAGTGCACACACATGCATTTACTCGGTATGGCCTCTGTGGTCACGTTCAGAAAATATCGCCGAACTGCACACACACAGGCACAGGGATTGTGTGACATGCACGGCTACGTTCATATGTCAACCAAATTTCAGAGGTGTGTGCGAGAGCAAGCAGCCAAATGCCACCCCAACTGGCGGCATTAAGGAAAGGGGGCGTGTACCGGGTTCTTGGCACGCACAGACCTGGTGTCTGTTCACCTGAGCATCCCAGCTCTTGTTCCTTGTCCACCACCAGTTTCATAAGCCACAACTTCGTGCGGGTGAGAGACGCCTGTTGAAGTTAGCCCCGTTTGTCAAAGGAAGTGAACGCGATTTTAGGTCCTCGGCACAATGCGACGTGGCGGGAGCCCAACCACCTAGGAATATAAAGACAATGGAATGTTGCTGCGAAGCTGGGCTGAGGACACAAAGCGCTCACCGTGTATGTTGGATGTCGCTGTTTTAGAAAGTGCTGACTTTTGCTGCAGAATCCATTTAATTTTAGCTGCATATTGCTTTTTCGCAATGGAGCACTCACTGATGTCGACTTTGTTGCGGCCAGGCCAATGTGTGAGTGACGCTGAGCTCAGCTCCGCCCCAGCCACAAAAATGCCGATTGAGCAACTCTGACACACATAGATGAAGAGAAAGAAATGGTTGCAGAGCTGTTTTCAGGGCGGATCCGTTCCAGGCACCACAAGACCGAGACAAGATTTGCAGAAACCAGGCTTGGTTTTTACGCCGTAAAAACTGATCGTATTTACGTTTTTACACGTAAAAATAGTTTTTACGTTTTTACGCGTAAAAATGCGTAAAAATACGTAAATACAACGTAAAAACTGCTTGGTGTACATAAGGACAGTACATATAGATTTAAAGAGTCCGGAGAGTGGCGGCCAGGCGCCTTGGAAGAGGCAGAAAACGAGTTTTTGCTAAACGCCATTATCGCCCTTGCCACAGGCGAGGTGGACATTGTGCTCCGGGTGATGGAGATGGCAGAGGACTGATCGTTGTATGCAACTTTCATCGTGTAAACTACGTGTGACAGGGAGCGTAAAAACGTAAAAGTAGCCGTAAAAATAGGCCCTTTTGCAAATTTACGTTTTTACGCATAAGAACGTAAAAGTAAAAACGTAAACTTAAACGTAAAAGCCAAGCCTGGCAGAAACAATCTGTGTTCAAGATGAACAGCCACCCCAGGGGTGGTTGGGGTGGGGGGGAAGGGCGGGAGGAAGAAGTTGGGGCCTTGCTCACACAACAGCGGTTTGGCAGCGCGCTCACGTGACCTGATGCACTGCGTTCGCTGTGATCTCTGCTGTTGCTTGCTGCAGTTGCGGTGCAAACTACGCGCACAGCTGTCTGTGTCATTCATTCATTAGGAACTAACACATAGCAAAGCAAGGAGGAAGCCGCCAGCTCCCTATGTTGCCCCAGAAAGTCCATGCCCATGATTCTTCCTCGAAATCCAGTGCACTGCACAAACGAAGTCCAAATTCCATCGATTCCCTGCTGCCTGGGGCCGATTGTCTGTGTCCGAGTCATCACGGTGCGCGGGCCTCCCTGCGTCATTCCTGGGCCTCCCAGCGTCATTCGCTGTCCGATTCGAGAATGACAAACCGGGGCCAACACACACTCCCCCGCGCAGATTCTGGGCCCCGTCCCCAACAACTCCCCGCCCCTCCTCGCGACGACAGCCCACCCGCGACGCACGGGCCCGCCAAGACCTCTCCTCCTCTGCCCCCTCCCCCCCCCCACCCCACCCCACCCCACAAACACGTTGTTCGCATCCCCACCTCCCTTTCCTACTCCGGGCGGCGAGGACAGAAGAAAGATCGATTGATCGAAGAGGACCCGGAGGCAAGGGGCTGGCCGGCGATCGGCGGAGGGATGTGATCGGCGCGGGTGCGCGGGCGGCGGCGCGGGGGCACCCATGGGCCGCCTGTTCTTCGAGGTGCTGGACAGTAAGGCCTACGCCTGCAAGACGTGCGCCTGCCAGTTGGCCCAGGTCCAGGACCTGGTGTCCAAGGTACGGTCCCGGGGCCCTGCACCCCACCCCCAAGCCCACCCCTCCTTGCGGCCCACTCCTCGATCCCACCCCTTTTGAGAAATCGAGAAAAATCCGCCCCTGGCGATGTGCCTGGGCCCTTGCGCTCAACCCAAGGACGGTTCCCTCCAGAGCAGCGCCCTCCCCGTCGCCCCATTCGAAGGCGGATCCCTTATCTGCGTTTCCATCCACCAAGAGATGACGGGCCGTGCGATTGGCGCCGGGTGCGTTCGCTGTGCTGGTTTCACCTCTCCCGCATCCGCCGTTGGGCTCCGTGTTCGAGGCGCGCACGCAACATATCGCCAGGGAGGCGGGATGGCGTGCAGTCGCCGGTGGCCGGGGGGTGTCTATGGTGAGGTCGGCAGCTCCGTTCTGCCGCAAAATCACCGCCTTGAGGCCTGAACGCCCTGGGCCACGCGACGCGTATGGAATCCCAATCTTCCCCGCTCCCTCCGGATGGGCTCCCTGAAGCTCCCAGTCCCAAAGACGCGGGAAGTGACGAGAATTCCGAAAGGCTTTCTCGTTGTGTGTTGGGCTGGGCAGCCGGCCGTTGGGGGCGAGAGCGGAGTTTGATGGGGAGGCGGCGAACGGTGGCCCCTGCGGCATGCACGCCCCGGCGCCTCTAAACGACCCACTGAATTGCGAAACATCGTGGCGCTAACGTGCCAGTGTGTACTTTTTAGTACTAATTCGTACAGGTTTTGGCGAACAGAAAATAAAATAGCGGCTTAACAAAATGGAAATCAACTTAATTGAAAGGAAAACAGGAAGGCAATTGATCACGTCGACTATTGTAAATTCCCTAAGTCACTGCACTTTCATTTCCATTTGTGGAATTTGGCTACGTGCAGATTGCCGCATAACAATTTTGGATCTGCATGACATCGCCAAACTCTGTGTTTCTGTGCATGTTGAGCAAATCCAGGCAAGGCAGAAAGAACTGTGCTGATGCATGGGGGTGTGTTGTGGCCGCCAGCGCCGCCAAAAATGGCAAAGTACAGCATTCTCGCCAGAAGGAATTTTCTGAATGTAGTGCCTTATTACTATGATGAAATGGTCTATAAGACGTCAATGAACGAGTCAAAGTCGTTTGGCTTAAGCACCTTATCGGCGCGTGGCCCATTGCGAATTTATCTCCACTGCTTTCATTCCTTTATGACGATGAAAAAGTCTCGTGGACACCAAAAAAATAGGGCCTGCGCTGGTGCGACTCATAGTCGCCAACAGAACTAGGGCGACACGAGTCATTTGCTGTTCTCTCTAAATGGAACTCCCCTCATTCGGACCACAATTGCTCCTGCCCCGCAGCAATTCCACTCCAAGGACGGTCGAGCGTACCTCTTCAACGACGTCGTGAACGTGCGCCTTGGACCTCGAGAGAGGCGCCTGATGACGACTGGGATGCATATCGTGCGGGATGCATTCTGCACAAAATGCATGTTTCCTGTGGGCTGGAAATACGTGAGTGTCGAATCCTCCCGGTTGTGTACCTCATTTACCCCCAACCCCACCCACCCTTCCTCCCTTGGTGCCTGTCTTGTAGCTGTTCGTGTGCCATTTCGAGAGTGCCGTTCCTGGTGCAGCCGAAAAATTCCGCGACATCTTGTACATCATGCCAAATATTTTTCTTCATCATCTTGTTCAACATGCATGTGTTTGAAACCAGCCGACATTCCTCAAATTTCTTGAGAGGCAACAAACAGCAAGGCCACACATCGCATGTTTGGGTCATTAGCCAATCTGCACGTGGCACCGTTTGCGGCGTTTCTTTGAAAAGTGCAATCCTGAATTCCCCGCAGGAGGAGGCCCGGTGCAAGGCTCAAAAGTATAAGGAGGGCAAGTACATCCTGGAGCGCTCGAAGATGCTGGTGCAGGACCACGAGACCGTGTGCGCCGCGGCGCCGGGCACAAGCCCGTCCACCAACGTCGCGGACAGTGGAGACGACAATGCAGACCAGTGGGAATGACATCGCTTGGAAGCTTTCGACTCGGCATTCTCGATTCAAAATTCGCGCGCCTTGGATCCACGCTGCCCAGTCGACAGTCGCGAGCATCGCTGTCGACTCGGCACATTCCATCTGGCGCTCACGATTCGGCACATCGGGTCGACAGACACACCTCGGCAGTTGGTGGCGTCAATTAAGTGAAACGGCGGCATCGGTGAGTTTGACGATATGGTGGCGCAGACGAATCCATCCGTGGGTGCTCCGCCTGTACAATGCACGTTGAGTTCTGCATCGAATTCGTTTTCCAGTTCTTACGGTTGGGGCGAAGGGAAGGAGCGTGTGACCGATCAAATCGCTGTAGATATTGCACTTGTACAACAGAACCGCCAGCCTCACTTTGTGCGTTTCTGGAACCGTCGAATGGGTGCATGTCCCCTGACTGCGCGATTTGGCTTGCCAAAACGAAGTGGCCATTCACTTGCCTGCACTGGCCTAAGTGTGAAAGAACCCTGTCCTTGCATCTTGGAAGGCAACAACAGGAAGCCGAACATCCGAAACCGCCTACTTGTTCCCCTCTTGTGTGCAGCGCTGCTCTGCGTCCGTTCACACCATGTGCAACCCGTGGTGGTGGGGCCCCGAATAAGGTCATCACACGACAGGGGCAAGCACGGTCGCCCCACCATGGCGCCACAGCACAACTGGCTCGTTTCACGGAAAACTCTGTGAATGCGCCTTTAAAGCAATCATTCTTGGAGAAGGGCGCTTGCACTATCGCTCTATGGCCTTTAGAAAAGGCACTCAAGCCAGTCATACGTATAAGCATTCCACTTGCACCAGATGACCTTGGATACCACCAGTAATGAGATAGGGGTCCATTCGGATGAAAATGTTCTGGAAGTCTTCAAGGCCGGCATCGAAGAAGGGACAGTGGCAAGGATCTTGGTTGCTGTCACCATCAAGGACAGGCCCATACGCTGTGAGAAACACTGATGGCAACCGAAGGGTCCACACATGTGCACGAACAGGCAGGCCCTCTGAGGCACAGTTGTGGCTAAAAGGAAATGGGGCAGTTCTGTGATAGGCTCTGCAGAGCATTCCTTTTGCACGAGCCCTCCAAGTCGTCCTCTGAGCCAAAATCGGTTTCGTCTGCATGTAAGCGAACTTGTCTTTGTCATCAGGAACACGGCATGGACTAGATGACGAAATTCTGAACATTTCAGCCATAGTTTCTTGAATCAAGTTCACAACGATTTGCCGTACCTATTTTTGTGTGTTGCTCTATTGCACTCCAACATCTCCCTCAGCCAAATATCCACCTCAGCAAATCCCAGCTGCAAACCTGCGACAACACTGTAAGGCTTCCAAACTCTAGGCCACCTGCTCCCCAAGCTTCCATTCAACAACGCCTGGAGCTGCTACTCAGGGTGTTATCAGGCTCAATTTCTTGTGCAAACCACTTCTCAATTCACGGGTGAGGCTGGCAAACACCGAATTACCGAAAAAACTTGCAATCTACAGGCACCCCAACCACCCCAGGTGCATCCCTAAAGCCCGATTTCTCCCATTTTACTGCCCTTTTTTGCCTCCAGAATCGGCATCAACTGCTGTTTGCTCACCCCCTGTTTGCCCTGGCCCGTTGCCCTCCACTTGTTTCCTTCTTCTGCGCCGGGCCCCATCTTTTGGTTCTTCCTCCCCAACAGCCTCAGCCCCTTGGACAGCACCGTCGCCGATCCGATCAACGCCTGACTGGGGCTCTTCTGGCTTCTCAGTGGAGAATCCAAACTCGTTAGCGCGGGTCTTGTCCACTCCATACAGCCACCATTGATACAAGAACACCAGGAACACAACATCGTCGCGGAACACGGACAGCCGGTGCAGCAGGGGCATCTTGATCGCAAACGCGAACAAGTCATCGATAATCGTATTGAGGAACTTGTAGGTGAGCTGCCGCCAAGGCAGGTGGGCCACGGACCGCAGCTTGTAGTTCAGGTACAACTGGGGACACATCAGTATGAAGCCGAAAGTGTACACGGCCCCCACAAAGGAGCTGAGGATCCAGGAGTACCAGCTCTTGTGCTTCTCGTATATTAGGGTGTAGACCGTGTAGCCCCCCACCAATGGATACAGTGCATAGCTCAGGTACCGAGTGGCATCCTGATCATAGCGCTTGGTCTGGCTGCTGGTGTAAGTGTCCCTGTCCAAGAATTTCAGCCATGGCACCTGCGTTCCAGCCACAGACACCCACTGCACCTCCACCTTCATGGCCTTGGTGATTTTCCAGAACTCGATCAGCATGCCCACCCCGGAGCTCAGTATCACAACGTAGCTGGTCTCGTTGTCAAGCAGGTACAGAAAGATCACCGCCTGGCAGAAGCAGTTGAGGGATGCATTTCACACACAATGCCACAAAAATTGGTGCGCATTTGGTCCAAACACTGAGCGGTGGATGCAGCAAAACGTGGTGCTCTTTTACCGCCCATCATAGCCTGCAAAGGGCACCAGTTCCACAAAATTTACGATCCATGGAATATGCAGACTTTGAAATTCATGGTGGGAATATCAGGTGTGGCTATTGACTGAGCAACAACAGAGCCAAGGCAATGCCAGCCTCTGACAGTCTGCAGCATTCTCACAAAGGGTCCAGGCAAACCCAGCATCCATGTTGTGAATAGACAGCACAGCACTGCAAGGCCCTGACCTGGCACACGCAGTTGATCACCACTGTCCGGGCTGACAGCCCCTCCATCGACTTGTTGTCCTTCCAGAAGCCAATGTCGTTCTTGAAGGCCAGGAAGTCGAAGACAGTGTGCAGAAGTGTGACAACGAACGTGACGCCCAGGAGGATGGGGTTCCCCTCCAGCAGGATGCGCTTGAAGGCATCAGGGTCGGTGTCCTGCGCCAGGCCCATCTCCTGCTGCATCTCGAAGGACTGGTCCATCTGAAAGTACATCTGGAACATCCAGGGCGTGATGGGCCCCAGGGTAAGCTCCAGCCGTAGGGACTCCACGCTGCCGTTGATCTGCACCAGCTTGTCCCTCAGCAGCCAGAACTCGTTGAAGAACACTAGCGGGTAGTAGTGCTGCCCGCCGACGTCCAGCACCATGTGCGCCCTCTGGTGTGGCTGCACCTTCGACTTGGGGTACGCCCCGAACTCCTGGACCACCGCCACGGACATCTCCGGCTTCCAAAAGCTGACGATCTCCGTCCCATTGCCAGAATCCTCCCCCTCGCCTGGTCCCCCATTGGGTTGGTTGGCCCCACCGGGGACCTCTGTCAGCAGGTTGAATGCCGCCACCTCCTTGGGACGGGGCAGGTAGGCGTTCAGCTGCCGCCGCGCCCAGTACACGTTGTTCTCATCAAAGTCGGGGTCCCCTTCGCAGCAGATGGACCACCCCTGGTGCGTCAAGAACGTGTGCAGGAACACCGTTCCGTTGTTCTTCACGTCCTCATTGGGCTCGTACGTAACGTTGGCGGATTGCTGACTCAGCGAGGACAGCCCCACGCCGTGCACCTCCCACACGGGGTCCATCTGCAACACGTCTCTTGGCAGCTGGGCCTGCTCGTGGACATAGAAGTAGACGTCGATCAGCTGGGCGGGATCCCACTTGGGCGAGATGAGCTCCCCGGGCTTGGCCTTGGGCGGGCTGCCCCTCATGTAGCTGAACAGCCACCAGAGGAAGCCCATGCGCAGCGCTGTGGCCAGGAAGTTGGGCGCCGGTCGCTGCTGTTGTTGTGCCTGTTGATCGCCACCGCCCGCAGCGGCCGCCGGTGCGATGCGGGGCGGCATGCCGGGGTAAGAAGGGAGGGGGAGGGCGGGAGGGCGCCGCGCGAAGGCTGGCGCGTCCTGTGGAGGGGGCCAAACGCCGGGGCCGGGAGCCTTGGGCTGGGACACGGAGGCGGGAAGAGGTGTGTGTTTGGGGCCAAGGGAGGGGCATAGAAAAATGTGACTACAAAAAACGCAAAATCGATGAAGCATAAGATACGGTGATGATACGGTCGAAACTGCGGCTCGGTCACCCTCGCGGCAACTTTCCGCCGCCGAAGAAGAAGCTTTGGGATCGCGAGGGAAGAAACGAGTTGGGTTCGTCGTTGGCAGTGTTTGTGGGGTTCCGCTAGGGAGGCACTATTTTGAGGTTTGCATGCATAGCTTCCAATGGATACTAGGCTCATGCCCCCCCTTTCCCCTCTCTTAACGTCAATCCTTATTTCGGGACTAGAATGACTCCGAAACATTTCCTAACTGTGAAATACATTTTGAGAGGTTTTTAAGCAGAAAACAACCCAAAAACGTTGTCAAAGTCGTGGCAAACTGTAGTGGATGTATAAAATAGGATGCCAAAAGGCATAACATGCGATGGGAGCCGCTCCAAAAGATGTACATTGATCCATTCTAAGGACTTCCCTGAAGATTGACAGCTTGATGAAGGTTTTTACCAAGATTTGAGCTGTCTGCCACTGATCACCAGCGTTTTCTTGCATCTTTCCCCCTTGCTTTGATTCTAGTGCAATTATATAATCTCTTGGCGTTTGTGCTAGGCTAGTTATTTACATTTATGTTTAAGCTTTTGCATTTAGGTTCTTATGCACCAAAACGCAAATTTGCAAAAAGGGATATTTTTACAACCGTGTTTACCCTTTTACATCTCGTTGTGACATCCGGGTTGTACGATAAAGTAGTGCACAATGATCATTCCTCCATCCCTTCAAACAAGCGCAACACAATGTCCACCTCACCCATGGCAAGCGCAATGATACCATGAAAACAAAACTCATTTTCTACATATTCTATTGTGTCTGGGTGCCATTCCTCGTACTTTCTAAATTTGCATGTATTGTCCTTATGGATACGGGGCTATATTTACGTTATATTTATGTATTTTAGGCGTTTTGCACTTAAAAACATGAAAACTATTTTACGCGTAAAGACGCAAATACGATCTGTGTTTATGGCGTAAATAACAAGCCCGGCCTGCACCATTTACCCCACCCCCTTAATATGAATTTAATTCTAAGTTTACAAAGATAAAAAATTGCGTCTTCATTTATGTGAGCTTCAACCAACAATACCATCTGCCATTGATGTTCCTTTGTGGTACATATGGAAGCAATTTTGCAAGTTGCCTTTGAATGGGCTGGATCACTGGTGTTGCGGTAATGCATCACTGGAATCCGTGGCACACAAGCAGTTTGGGATTTGGGGCTCAGACACAACGAATGCAATAAAAGGCATGCACATTTTTGCCATTGTTTAGGATCAGGTTGTGTAACTTTTTCATTAGAGAATTGTGGGCAAAACTACATTGCAAAAAGTTTTTTGCAGTACTCAATATGATGTTTGATCCCTTCCAACTATTTTGAAACTAGCCAATGCAGAAACCGATGTTTGTCTACTCTGGCCCTCAATTCATAAGCAAATTAGAAGCAAAATACAGAAAGGGTTGTATTCAAGGACAAATTATAAGTGTGATAAGAGTGAGGGCGGCATTGAGTCTATTTTGCGGTAAACATTGTTCAATTTATTCCACATCGGATACTAATGTATCTCAATGGAACGAAAGAACTTTAGCAGTTGCAAGCATTTGCAAGTTGGCAATGTGACATTTGCAACGAGTTCTTGTATTTTCAATTAATTTGTATATTTTCTATTAATTTCAAATGGATGCCTCAAAATCCGTCTATGTCACCGTATTTCCTCTCCAGCTTATTGTACTATATTGTCCGTTTATATTTTGACTGCATTTTGGTGGGTTCTTCTACCATAGTTGTGGACACTAGGATGAAGGAGAAGGCGAGGGGGAGGGGGAGGGTCTTCCTTTTGGAGGGGGACGGGCAAGAATCTGGGACCTTGCCTTGGAATCTATGGCAAATCTAAACTTCCAAAACCAAAATTAGTGCCAAGACTATGTTGAAGGTCGTGCCAATCTAGTCCACATTTTCACCACATCAATAAGTATCGTTTGACAAACTTGCTGTCAGCGCGGTCCCATTTTGGCCATGTCCAAGTACCCTGGCCTACGCTCTAGGGCTTCTCCAGTGGAAGCGTGGTCGTCCTCGGCCGGACAATATGTCCCAGGCTCTCTCTGGCCCGTGGATGACGGCCGCTCTGTGCGGTCCCATCAAAGGTGCGCGGCGGTTGTGCTCGAGGAGGCAGGGAGGCAATGTGTTCCAGAACGATCAAACTACAATCAACGCCGCCGCTTGGCGCTCTTACATGAGGCGGCCAAAATTATCAAAGTCATCATATTCATTAAGCATCGCCATTTTGGCTAAACCCGTTTTCTGGCTAAAGGCCTCGCTACGCTCGTTCCGGCCTACTCTGCTTCGCTCCCCATATGGCCTCCACGACTTTGGCGATGGGCCGAGCTCCGCTCGGCAAGGCAAGAAACCAACGAGTTGCTACCACATTACCACACTTGCATTGCAATAATATAGAGGAATATTCAAACAAAACCACCGATTCCTGCCGACGTGTGCTGGCGGGAATTGTTGCTGACTGTAGTTGTCCAAAATAATGAATATATGCTATTCTACTCTAGGCCTGCACCTGGACTACACAGCCACACCTCAGCAGCTCGCAAACTTGCCAACGTCTATTCGAGGTAACCGGATAGATGTTATGAAGTATGTTGAGTCAGCACTAGAACTACAAAACTGCGGGCCAGTCGCTATCTTACCAGTCACAACCAAACAAATGCTCCATGGTCTTGGCTATGGCAGCTGGCTAGTGGCAAGGTGATCGCATCGTGATTCCAATCGGTTCTGACATGTGATTGGCTGGCATATGGGGCGGGCCTTCCGCGGCTCTCTGTCACTGATCGTTACTTGCTACTATTCTCAATTCGACCTGCCATGCATTGGCGTGGGGATCACTCCATCCATTCTGAGTGCCGGCCCGTGTATTCGCTTACCGCCGCGGGGAATACGTGGGAACCTGCAAATGGAACTTGCATATCTGGGTGCCATGGGGCAATCAAACTACATTGCATGGAGCCCCTAGGCTAGTAGATATTAACGGGGGGAAGCTTCACTTGTTGCAGGGCTCTCACCGTATGGTCAAAGTGCGCGTGCAACACAAGGCGCTGATGCCGCAGCACTTTGGTCTACTCACAAGTTTGTAGTAGTGGGACTCTGGCACTTGCACTGACAACTGACGCCAATAACTGACCCGGCAAACACCAAATCCACATGTGCATGGATATTGCACAGATGCATGTATATGTCAATGTGGATCTATGGACTTAAAAGATCATATCTTTGGCAATCCACAAGTCTTGAGTATTGCAAGGGCCATTACCACTCTCGATGTCTTTTCGAAGCGGGGGCTGGAACTGATGACTAACACCAACTTCCCCACCACATTGAACATGGCAATCATGCCATTGGGCCACACCCAGTCATTTACCCGCCAGGTTGCGGTGTGGCAACTCCGACGAAGGGTGCCAGTTAACACACATCTGATAAACTTGGTTTGCATCCAGCTTGCTTTCCCCCACAATGGCCTTCTACTCTAGCCTTGCTCGCTGAGAACAAGGCAAGAAAAGTGTGCAAAGAGAGCAACAACGTCAAGGAGGAGGGAGTTTAGACTATGTGGTGTGGTATCTTGATCACTTCTGTTGGTACCCGTTTGGCAACACGACCGCCAAGAACCTCCTTGATATGAGCCCGATCCCTGCCTCAGCACTCCTGTCAAGCTGTGGCAATGTCCGCAAACTGTTGAAGATATGCACGGTTTTGTGATTCAGCTAATTATCAGGGTTTTTTGTTGTACTTTCTGGATCACAACGTGTTGTTGTCGGGACCAAACCTTTGGGAAGAATTGGATATGTTTCATTCTCTCTGATTCCTATGTATATGGAGACATTGTCTAGGATACAAGCTTGTGATGGATGCTTTGGAAATGTCTTAGAGTTCTGGGGATTTAGGGTGTATTCATTGCCTAACATGGTGTTAAAATGGACCCACCGAATATTATATCTTAATTTGGTTGTATTTACTGAATGTGCCGGTTGATTGTAATGAACTTGTTCCAGTTGCCTCGCTCCCCACCTTTGGCGGTTCTGGGCATGCCCAGCGGGCACCACCCCTTGGGGGTGGGTCGCAGCGGTGCACAACACGCGGCAGCTATTGGTGGCAAAGGGGCCCGAGGGAGGGGTAGGGCAGAGGGGTTTCTGATATTCATGCTGAATGACTACAACCCCAGCACCATGGCTAGGGACGCTCTCATCCTCAACATCTGCTGAAGGATCGACGCGGTACAGCCACGGCCAAAAAAACCCTCGTACTAGGATTTGAGCCTAGGGTCACCATGGTAAACCAGACTGGTTTCTTCTTGCGCCTCTAGGACTCGTCAGTGGCCTGGTTTGCCACATTAGGCTCAGGTATTATACCCTCTGTATCACTTTCTGTCGGCGACAGGGTACAATATGGAGTTATCAAGAGGCAACGCAGAGATGCTAAGGGAGGCAGTGGAGAGAGTACTGCATGAAGATAGCGAGGGAACAAATGGGTGGATGAAATTGTCCCCATCGGGGTGAGGCGCCGTTATGAAGGAGGTGCTCCAGTCTTGGGTTGGGCCCTTACTCAGAGTTGCCTCCAATTGCAAAGGTGCAGATAGTTCGGCAAAAACGGATGGAGCTGGGGGCTAATGTGACCATAGGCAACCACAACGGAAAAGGGAAGGCAAGCACCTGGGAGGGTCTAAAAGAGACGCTGCCCATCCATTCGGCTATTTAGCCATGAGGCACGAGTCCTTGGCTTGGAGCCTCGTGGATTGAGATAGGCGCTCGA